ATCTTAGCGAGTTTAAAATCTACAATAGAGTAGGATCCATCTGCGCCAGCACAAATGACTTTTATACAAATTAGGTACAGAAAGTTAAATTACTCTTAATTAAAAAAACAATGTTGTAACAATATATCATCTTTATGTGCCATAAGGGATCGTTTCCGCACATGTGTCAACGTCATGGGAGATGCACTGGGCTCTGGAATCGTGGATCACTTGTCTCGTGACGACATCATGTTTTCAGATCAGCTGGACGCAAACGAGGATACACCGCTGAAACATAACGGCGGTGCGCTGGACGGAGACGTTGACGAAGAGGACGAAGAGGATGACGACCCCATGAAAATGACGAGTGTTTAAAACCAAAATGGTTACAGCACCTTAAAGTTTCATTACATCAAATATTACAAGTAGTTTAGTTTGGTTTTGTTTGGCATAAGGAAAACTCACAATGTAGCAGTAACCGTGGCTTCAGCGAGCAGTTGTCGTAATCCCACTCTACATTTCAAGTTGCAGAGTCAGCTCAGATAATCGAATTACTCCCCGTAATTCTGTTTATCCAGAAACCAGTTGCCCCGCTCAGAGCGAAGGGTGTACAGTCCCCATACCGCCCTAAAGATCGCAGTTCCTAATTATGTCCCCAGGAACCCTCTCATTTCACACGTATGAAGCCCTTTTGTAAATACAACTATTGCACGCTCTTAGACTTTATACTGGTAATCAACCAGAGGCAGCAATTATTAAAATGCAGTCAGTGAATCTATACACTGAAGTAAATGTAGCTTATGCCAGATGGTTCGAAGTGACCACATCAAAGTGCAGGTTGATAAGTATTAAGAAAAATTGGATGCTCAAAGCTAATATAAATGAGAGCACATATCTTTCAAAAGATAGCATCTTGATGCAACAATGAGCCTGCTTGACCGGTGGATTTGTCAACGCTTTGAGTCATAGGCGGAGCTAGTTTCTGGCCCCTTATTTGGCCTCAAACCTATTCCCTTCAAAACTTTAAAGTGCAGTCGGAACCAACTGGAATTTCCACCATTTATTTCCTTGTTTTCTCTGAAATGTATGTTTATTTGCGCTTTAGAGAATAAAATTTAAGCTTTGAAGTAAACGAAGTCAGAATTCGTTCATCATTCTAATTGCATTTTTCACAAATTTGTCAGAAAAGCGCTGAATAATCTCGATCCCGCTATTCTTAAGACATCTTAACCCTTTAACTCCCACGAGTGACCAAGACAGAATTTCTCCTTACAATACCAATATAATATCAACCAGATAAGTGATGAAAATAAAGAAAAAATATCAATTGGGGTATAATTAGTTGATCCAATACTAAATTCTCTGAACTAACAATATAAAAATTGTATGGCTGACAGCGTCCGCTGATACATAACATCCTTTGTCCTTGAGTATGGTAACAGAAATGATATGCAATTTCTGTCAGGTCCCAGAAAACATGACATCTCCAAAAATAGGCTGGAATGTTCCTTGCCATGCAAGGGTTGACCAGGCCTGCACAAGCTGCAGGGAGAGTCCTGGACTGTAGCGCTGGTATACGATTAGATAACATTTTTACACAGCAGCAGGCGAAAAACCATAAAGAAAGTTGTGGACAAAACATTGGAGACAGCTTGCAAGATAAAGCAGAACAAGTACAATGTACAATAAAACAGTATAACATTTTTGGAAAACATAAGCAATCAATCAAATTGTTTATAATTTTTTATGTTTCAGACCAAAATAATTTGTTATTCATCCCATTTATGATTTTCATGTTACAAATGTGTCTACTAGACCAAATGATAAAGCCAGTTGGGCAATCCATATGGCATCAAGTCTACTAGATATTTAGTTAGCCATAGCAGTTACCCATCCAGTTGATGGAACAATGATCCTTTCCTAAGAAGAGTAAACGAGTGAAGTGATTCCTTCAATAAAAGTCTTATAGGGCATGATACGAGTGGTAACATCGTAGACAGCCACATTTGTCTTTAACAGTCCAAAAACCTGCCAGAAATACACATTTCTAGGATTTCAGACTTTTACAAGTCCCATGACTGAGTAATATGATAACTAGACATCTGGAATAGGCAACTATACCCTACCAAGTGTTCCACACGGAACAACCACTGTAAAGTGTTTAAAAGCTGACGTTTCTAGTGTTGCTTATTTATGGACAAACTCATATGTTTTTTTGCAGAATTTCTGTGCCACATTTATTTGAATTGCATTCTAGTAAGATTTTTGGCTTGTTTTTCTCAGAATATAATTAAGATACAATGTTTCTTCGTAAAGCATTACATGCTATTGACTCCAGGATAAAAAAGGGAAAAAAGCAACAGTCATTCTCATCTTTTCTGTTTCTGCATTTTGTTCCGATATGTGGACTGTGTTGT